AAACTTCCTTACTTCCTTCCTTCCTTCCTTCCTTCCTTCCTTCCTTCCTTCCTTCCACACTAGACTTATATACTGCTTCACAGTGCTTTGCAGCCCCCTCTAAGCAGTTTACAGAGTCAGCATTTTGCCCCAACAATCTGGGTCCTCATCTCACTCACCTTGGAAGGATGGAAGGCTGAGTCAACCTTGAGTCCCATCAGGATTAAATTCCAGGCTGTGGGGAAGTTTAGCCTGCAATACTGCATTCTTACCACTGGGCTAACAGAGGTCCTATACTAACCGTTTACAACCTTTGTCGTATCTTTCTCTTTCAGTCATGTTTTTGCGATTACATTTCTGTTAGTACATGTTGGTCCATTTTTTTTTCTTTTTCATACTTTACCAGTGGAGAAATTGCCTAAACAAACAAATTTCTTCCTGAGTTGCCTTTCTCCAGCAGTTCCCTAAAAATGCTAAACCCAAGTTAACAAACTCAGCTCTGTGACATATTTAGATGATTAGAATGCTGGGTGACTCACAGCTGCTGCCTAAAATGGACAAGACTCTAATCGGTTTTACACTGATACCTCCCCCCCCCCAAGCAGTTCATATCTAGGGAACAGGGCATTCCATTCAAAGTGTATTCTGCATTGTGTACCAGCTTATTCTCTTGTGATCCCTTTTTCTCCAATGAATATAAGACAAATATTATATAAGAATAATAGATTACAAATATTTATCTTCTTGCTAATTATCCTAGCACTGCGGTGAGTATTAGAAAGGGTGGGGGATTGGGGAAGAAGGACTATGCAATTTGCCCTTTTATCCAGCATTCTTTTGAGTTGAGTTCTAGAAATCTCTCCCCCGCCCCCCTCGTTTAGGCTCACCCAGATATTTGGGGTCATATCCTTCTGAAGTCGATGTAAAATTGTAAGAACAATTGCATTAATATGCTTTTTCAGTTAGTGACTGCTTTGCTTAAGAACCAAATTGGAGGTCCCAATTGTCGTCACCAACACACTCACTATATCAGATTTCCCTGTAGAAGCTCAGCTGTCAACATAACTGGCGGTTTCAAGATTTGAGGGAAATGCTATAGCTTTGGGCAGCCCAATCCTAACTCACTTGCTTTAGATACCTGCTGGGTCATCAGTGATGTCTTAACTTAAAAAATCAAATCAAAACAACATGTCATACTATGTTGATGACTACTCAGGACTGAATCTTATTGAAATCATACTGGCTGATTCCTAGTCTTCTGTCTACTTTCTAGATTAGCTGCCCAAAGAGCAAAGTATCTAAGAGAGAAGCTGGAAGAAAATCAAACTTATAAGACGGCCCTTGATACCCAGGTAAATTGCAACACAAGCAGTTTCAGCCTATAACAAGCGTGTATGGTTTGCGATCACGAAAGGAAGCTTTGCGCAGTGGCAGTATCGTAGCCAATGAGATTTATCCGAGACGCGATTATTGCTCATTGAAACTCTTTTTTAAGACAGACAGACAGACAGACACACAGACACACCGCTCATTCAGTTTAGTGGGATTACTTTTATGTAAGCAACTGTAGCAACACAGCCTAAGAGTGAATCGTAACAGCAGTAACTGACAATTCATGATCAGTTACACCGTATTTTTCAGAGTGTAAGACGCACCAAGATTTTGAAGAGGCAAATTAAAAAAAAAAAAGTTTTTGCACTCTGCAGACCTCCCCAAAACCGGCCCGTTTTTTTGTGAAAACCGGCCCGTTTTTTTGTGAAAACCGGCCCGTTTTTTTGTGAAAACCGGCCCGTTTTTTTGTGAAAACCGGCCCGT